CAAAAGTGGGGAATTCGAGATGAAAAAGAAAATTACAACGAAAGTGAGTTCGAATTTGATTCAAATTTAAAGTCCCCAAATTATAAAAGGGTAAGAATTTACATTTTATTTAGATTAAGAAAATTGAAAGGAAAGGAGAAGAGAGTGAGGGGAAGAAAGTATATTTTTGATAAATAATTTTAATATAGGAGAGGGAAATAGAGGAGAGGAAAATAGAGGAAGATAAAGTCTTTTCCCTTTCTTTCAATTTCTTCAATTTCTTCAATTTCAATCCCTTCAAATTGAGGAGATCGAAACATATTATATTATTTAATTTATTTTTAAAAAATTTTTAAAAATAAATATATATAAACATTTTATTTTAATTATTTATGTAATTAATAAATTTTAAAAATTTTATTCTTTTTATTTTATTTTTTATTAAATTATTTAATTAAATCAATATATTATCATTTTCGCTACTTCACGTTACCTGTACAGTCCCTTCAGTTCACCTCCTTTTCCTTCCCTTCTCCCATTCCTTTCCTTTCCTTTACTATCATTTTCCAAACATAGGCTTAATGAAAAGAGAGATTTAAGCAGAATTTTAAGATTTCTTTATATTAATTGGGACTTGATTTTGTGGGGAAGTTGGGTAGAATTAGCTCTTTCCCTCTTCTTGTATGAAAGGGGGATCCGCAGAGAGATAGGGTACAGCTTCAAGTCTTCGTTTCTGGGGGGTAAAATCGCAGAAAAAATTGACAGAATTCCGGATGCAATCAAGTGGAAGATAATATAAATTGTTTTGTCTTGTTTGCTACTTACAAATACTTTTCCCTTCTTGGTTCTAGAATAGGTAGGAAGGGGAATGGAGTCAGTTTAAAGGGGTGATCTCACATGGGGTTTCCTTAAATTTGATTCAAAACCCTGTCCTATACTGGTATGCTGCTCTTTATTTATTTTTAAGTAAAAATCTGCTTGCTGGTTGGATATTGAAACTGCTACTACTTCAGGAAGGCATATTTTGAGTTTCGTGTTAATTTCTGTTTATTAGAGCCTCTAATTATTTTGAACGAATTGGACAGTTATTTCTCATCATCCCAAGGCTTAAGATTGCTATGTAATCATAAACAGCAAAACTTCTTGTATTCTTTGTTACATGTTCCTAACATGTTTGGTATTAGAATATGCTTGTGGTGCCTATCTCATCTGCCAAGAACAGCATTAGAAACATGGGCAGCTTGGGCTGAGACCACAATTAACCCAAACAGGCCAAGTGTATTATTCCGGACCTTTGAATCTTCCCATTGGAGGAATGTTGCATAGAAAGTCACTCTTTTGCTGCTAGTTTTCCGTTATCATGATAATTTAGGTTGCCTATTGATAGAATTGAAGTCTTTGATAATGTGCCTTGTCTATGGATCTTTTCCAGAGAAACTTTTTTGTCATACCTCCATATCATTATTGTATGGGGGCCTAAGTTGGATGGTCGTTAAGACATTAGCTTCCTTGTTATTTTCTGTTATTGAGAAGCCCGTTCCAGATCCTTGCTGAGTTTGTGCTCTGTTATTTGGCTGTTTATGTGCCTGGAACTTAGAAAATTGAAATGCAAACAAGTTGTCCAGAATTGGTTGAATCGTAATATGCATGCATGATTCTCACTGTTTGCTAATCATGTTGAGATTATGTGTCAATCAAATAGCTAGTGTGTCAGTTAATAGAATTTGATTTTTCTGAATTTATTGATTAAGCTTATGCCATGATAATCTTACTGTTTGCAAATTTTGCTAATCATCTGGAGCTTATGTGTCAATCATGCTGTAGTGTGTCAGTTAATAGAATTTGATTTCCATGGAAATTTTGAGTATATGAGTTTGAAATTTTTCTGAATTTAATGATTAAGCTTATTAAATGATAGTAGAGTTCAAGAATCACGTTGGCTTCTGCTCCCAGTTGAAATCTAAGTGAAGGAGTACCTCCTGCAATTGTACTTGTGAGCAGCCACCATCTTTCTGGACACATTGCATTAAATGCGGCATTGGCAGATGCAGTACTACTGTCATGAAAGTTATGTAGGAAAATTCATGCAATGCCAAGATTGTAAACCAGTGTACAAGAAAAGAAGTACTGCTGAGCATGTTCAGAGGGGTTCTGAAACATAAGATGAGCATTCTGATTCAGATGGGAGGCTTAGAGGTTCAGTGGTGTAGTGAAGCAATCAAGTAAGAACACATGGAAGAGTTATGTTGTATTATTTAGCTTCATTATGTTATTATGATTTTAGGTTTCATTTGCAGTTTCAGAGAAATTGTGTAAGTTGATGAACTATATATTCTAGAAATGATCTTTATTTCTTATTGCTGCTATCTTTTTAACAGAGCAAACAATATATTGCTTCAAATGTAAACTTGCAAGTTGGATGCTACGCAATTGTGATGTTGCAGTAAATGATTTTCATTCAGGACAAGGAATGACCCTCACTAATGCTGTATTGATTGGAATGAGGCCAAGGTTTTGTAGCACATCCATATCTAAGGTTTGCTTCCCTTAATGTGTTATGTTCCTAAGAAATTCTCATTAATATCTCATGAAATAATTCTCTCCCAGGAAACCTCATGGCCTCATCTGTCATGCCTATGCTTCTATTTAACATTTGCCACTTCAGTCATTCAATTCTTAAATTCTTAGCACTACTTGCATTATATTTAAGGAACACTTATACTGTTTCCTTGGGGAAAAAACCCTCTTATCCTGCTTCTTTCTTTGTCTATATCCATTTTTTTTTTTTTTGTTCGGCGTTTGGGTTTAGTTATTGAACTGAATATGTAGGTCCCCAGGGCTTGCTGCTATGCATTACCATTCACTTGAGACTGTTGATTCCTGAGGTGCTTTCCCTCTTTCTCTTCTAATTCCATATTCAAACTTCTTCTTTCTTTGTCTGTATCTTTCATTTTGTTCTATAGTCTGTAGTTCGAGTTTAATTATTAAACGAAATATGTATGTCCCCAAGACAAGGGCTTGTTGCCATGCATTACGAGATTGTTGATTCCTGAGGTGCATTCCTTCCTCTTCCTTTTCCAATTCTATATTTAAACAATTATACCCCATACTCTTTTCTAATTCCATATATAAAAATCCACACTGCAACTTGAAATCCCATTAAAAACTATCACAACATGAAGGATACATATTGGAGAAGGAATTGTATGTATTCCTTTTCCAGTAGAAGGGAGTCAGTTCTAATTATTTATATTATTTTTATCTACGTAAAATCACAGTTTGTCTAATCTTCGATCTGTCTCCTCGTACATGGTTCGTTATCCTGCCTTTAATGGGACTCTAAATGGAGTGAAATTGAAACTTTGACACTAAGGAAATTAGTACTATTATAACGTATGTTTCTCTCGAACAACTTTTTGTTATTATAATTTTCTTTAGTTCTACCACAATTGGCCAAGGATTTGTAAGGTTTATTTCCTACGAGGATATTATTATTGTAAGATCTACACCCCCAATTTTCATTGATTAACACTATCACCCTCATCATGATTGTGCACTAGAAAATATAATGTAAATTTAGTTTTTAACTTTTTATTGATAATTTATATATTTTTTAAAACATGGAACTGTTATAAGTGTAGGAGATGATATTCAATGAGTTTTAATAAAGTTTTGGTTATCACGTGGCAATTATATATTAAATTCTAGCGATATAATTCTTTGCATAAACATTAAACCGAATAAAGTGAACATTATTTCTTCAAACCCGACAAGCAGAGTCGAAGTGGCATGTTAACTTCGACTTTGCTTGTCAAGTTTGAAGAAGTAATGTTCACTTTATTCATTTTAATGTTTGTGCAAGGAATTATACTGCTACAATTTAATGTAATTGCTACATGATCGGCAAAAACTTTTTGAAGATGCACTTGGGCCTTTGCTCCAATAGCGTTAGGCCATATATAAGTGCATTCTTCCTCTACCAGGGCAACGGTTCGAATATGACCCGTTGTAAATTTGTTCAAAAAAAAAAAAAAATACTTCTTGAAGATCATTGAATGTCATATCAATTATACTTACAGTTAGGGGTGTTCACATCCGATCCAATCCGATTGATTTGACCTAAACTAATCCAATCTAATAAAAAATTGAACCAAACCGATACAAAATTGGATTGATTTGGATTATAAAATTTTAAAACTGATATAACTGGTTTGGTTTATAGTTTTACTTTTAAACTGCCCGAACCGTCCGATTACAAAATAAAATCCAATTACACGATAATTTAATTAAATAATATAATATTTTTTTTCAATATTTAAAATTTTTTCTTATTTTATAAGATGATAACTCTAGTAACTTAATTTAAAAATAAAAGTCGAATATCCATATATTCTCTAATTTAATTTCCTTTCTAATTTGTGCACTCTACCCTTCAATCTTTTATAACTAGTCTATGACTCTATTTTGAGAACTCTAAATTTTCAATGTGTTTTTAAAATAATGTTATGATTTTCTTAACTAAATTTTAAGAAATATCATTGTAGAAGTCTTAAAACTATATGATAGAACTAATTTTGATATTCTACTATTTTTGGATTTTTGGTTAAGAAGTTTTAAATTTTATTTATGAATGCTTTTAATCATTCTTAATGACGTTTATGTTAAATTTTAATTGCTTTTAACAAGGTTTGGAAGATGAGATTGAATGATTTGCTGCATTAAGGAAAAAAATTAGTTTTAACTTTTAAAAATTACTTGCACTGTATTTAAAATTTAAAGTTATATTTTATTATCCTTGATGCCGCTAGTGATGTAATTTAGAAGAATTTTCAAATCTTTTTAATCTTTACAATTGTAAATGAATGTAAGAATTTGTTTATAATTTGTGTATTTTATTATGTTTCTAGTAATTTAGATGTTAATGTATTTTATAGTTATATTTTTTATTTAATGTTAAAATTTTTTATATTATCTCATATATTTAATAGTGTTAAAAACTGATCAATCTGACTGAACCACACCGATCCGATTTAAGTTGGATTGATTTGGTTATCATATAATAGTGGATTTGATTGATTTAAAAATTTTACTAACCAATTAAATTGTATTAGTTTAAAAAACATTAAAATTCGAACTAAACCACACCGCGAACACCCCTACTTACAGTAGTTTCATATTTAAAAAAAAATGTAAAACATTAATAAAGAGTTAAAAACTAAGTTTTTTTTTTTTTATTGCATCTGACCCTTGAGGCCTAGTGGCATAGTCACGGTGCATTCCCCTCCCCCGGCAGGGTTCAAAACCTGCTCTTGCAAAATATGTTCAAAAAAAAAAAAAAAAAA